GTTTTATGTTATGGTGATGAGAGCTAATTGTCATGAACAATAAATATATGAAAAAATAGCCCACAGTTTTTAGCCATCTGGGGAATATAAACCAAAACTACATGGAGATTTTGTCTTATTCCTGTCAGAATGGCTACAATAATAATAATTAAAAAGTTCTGGTAAGGATATGGAGAAGAGGAACCTTATACACTCATGGTGGGAATATAAATTAGTACAGAACAGGGCCAGGGATTTAGTTCAGTGGCACTGCCACCTACCTCACAAGCACAAGGTACTGAGTTTGAGCCCTGGTACTTTTAAAAGAGAGAGAGAGGAGAGAGAGAGAGGAGAGAGAGGGGGGGGGAGCTATTTCCAGGGCAAGGCAAGATGTCTGCTGACAGATGAATGGATAAAGAGAATTTGGTATATGTACACAATGGAGAATTATTCAGCCATAAAGAAGAATGTCATGACATTTTCAGGAATAGGAATAGATCTGGAGGTCATCATATTAAGTGAAATAAGCCAGAAAAAGGAAGAAAAGTGCTGCCTGTATTCTCTTGGATGACGACACTAAAAAGAAATTTAAAAATGATGACCTAAAGTTGAAGAGGAACTAACAGAGGAGGGCAAGGTGTCAGGGGGAGGATGAAGAGGAGAGAGAGAGGGTTTTATAGGGAGTGGATTAGAACAAAGCCCAATATATACATGCGTGGAAATTTCACAGAAAAACCATTCATCTATACAGTTAATATGAGCTAAAAATTATAAAATCATGGCAGAGAATATACCTTTCCCAGTGATAAACTTCGTGGAGATGAGCTGGAGCCATCCCTGTTCGCTGGTAGATTTATCTGCTGTCTGTTCACCAGGGAGTGGGCTGGGCTTACACAGGGAGTATTCCACGAACTCTGAAGATTCACAGCTAAGAATAGACTCCACTGAAATTTTCTTAGGACGGGCTCTGGTGGAACAATTCCAGTGGGAAGACTGTTTAAATGTAAAGATTATTCGGCAAGACACCTCCCTGCTTCATCTGCTTTCAAGTTTCAGACAAAGCATCAAGTTCAGAACTAATGAACTAGACTTCATTACTTGTAGGCTGGTAGAGTCTAGTCAAGAAAAGCTCATTTCGTTTTCCACCTATTGAAATTTAGGTACTGAGAAATTAATGTAATTCTTCTACCTGACATGGTGAGTCAGGAGAATCATGAATTTAAGGTCAGCCTGAACCGCTTAGTGAGACTGTCTGAAACAAATAAACAAACAAAGTTGTATTTTCAGTTTTAAATAAGCTTTAACAGAGGTATTATGAGTTGTTATCCATTCTTTAAGACATTTATGGTTTGATATACACATGCAATTAATCAAAGCTGGAATCTCCAATGAGTCTACCACTCTTTCCTTTCCTACACTCCTCCCCTTTCTGAAGGTGCAGCCTCACCCCAGGGCGTATATCAGCCCTTTTCCTCTTCTCTTCACTATAGACACCTTGAAAAAATCCCAATCCTGTTTAATTCCAACTCTTTCCCAATTCTGTGCTAGTAATTAAAGTAGCTGGGGAAAATATCTAAGTATAAACTGGGGTTCTAATGATACAAATTAAAATATGAATCTAATTCAATTTTCTCTATTAGATTCACCTACTAAACACATAAATAAAACCAATATTGGCTTCCTAAATAACTTAGAACTGCTATCCCATGCAAAATGTATTGAGGTTTTCAAGAACCAAAACTATTTTTAAAGGAATTTAGTGAGTAAGTATCCCCTTTGCTCTCAGGTACTGGTGCAATTAATTTCTCGATAAATACTTAGAGAGTATACAGAACATCCCAGGCACTGTTCCAGTCACTCTGGTATGGAACTGAAGAGTACAGCACATGCCTGCCCTTCTGGGGCTTATATTCTAGTAGGGAAGTCAGATCAGAAATAAACAATGAAGCATACGAACAAACAGGTATTAGGTGACATTAAGCCCTGTGAAAGAAAAACAAAACAAAACAAAACAAAGACATGGTAAAGGATGTGGGCTGTGACAGGGCTTGATGAAGGAGACTTTCCCACAAATTGACTTTTGAGTGGAGACTGAAGGAGAGGGAAGGAGCAAGCCATGGGCTTTTCTGGGGGGCAGAGGGTTTATTTAGGGCAGGAGTGTGCTTGGCTTTCTCAAGGAAAAGACGAGGGGTGAATAT